CCAATGTGATTATGTGGGACCCCTACACTGGCGAAAGGCTGAGGGCACTCCAGTAAGGACTGCATCCTGCTACAACTTCCTGGTGGGCTGACATTGAGAAACCTGCTTGGAAACAGACATGTCCCTCTTAGAGTCTGTGACACAGGAGGGGACAGCCTGGATAAAAAGGCACAATGGGTTGTTGATTCGTGTTTCACTGTCGATTAAGCCCCTAACTCAGCCGTGAGTGTGTGTTTCCTAGGGAGGCTGGCCGTTGTTTTTTGAACTCAGCATTATGAAACCTCGAAGTGACTCTTTATTTCCATTTACTAATAACTGTAGTAACAAGTTCAGAATGAGCCTCTCATCAAAACCGTTATTTCCTCAGTGAATTTTCATGTTTGCACAAACGCGGTCTACTTTTTCCCTTTGTCTGTTGTTTTATGAAGCAAATAATAGGTAGTCCTATAATTATCATGTAACAGAGCCTTAAAAAGACTTGCCTTTGTACTGTGGCATTAAAGAGAGGGCTGACCTACTTTGCATAAGGAAATTAGCACAAGGATTCGTCTGGAGCCTTTTCCTAGCCACAGCAGTTTGATCTCCTGCCTGGGGTGAGGATGCAGGGTGCAAGGCGGCCATCACTCCAGGCCCACCATTGTTTCTTTCCTTCTCAGCCACACGCAGGTCGATCCTGCCATGGACGACAGTGATGTCCATATTAGCTCACTGCGATCTGTGTGCTTCTCTCCGGAAGGCTTGTACCTTGCCACAGTGGCAGATGACAGGTAACAAAGAGAAATCTGTGTGTGGCCGCAGAGCGTGTGTTTGCAAGGAATGGCTGCATGGCCCTAGGTCAGTTGATAGGTGAATGTCCCTGTCCTTCTCCCTCTCTCTCTAGACTCCTCAGGATCTGGGCCCTGGAACTGAAAACTCCAATTGCATTTGCTCCTATGACCAATGGTCTTTGCTGCACATTTTTTCCACATGGTGGAGTTATTGCCACAGGGTATGTATCTGTTAGCTGAACAGATGGGTAGTGGTTTCTGCTGAGTATACCATGTAGCTTTTTAAGGAAAGAAAGTATCAAGAATTTTGTTGCCTATGAGG